ACACTCCTGCTTAAGAAACACTGAATACATAAGTGTAATATGTAAATTCTTATATCTCAGAAACGTAAGATATTTTTAGAAAAGTTGGAGTTGGATATGTGCTAATTCCTTTAAATCTTTCCTTTCCAATAACATCAATCTAACTTTTTTTGTTTGTTTGTTTTTGAGATGGGGTCTCACTCGGTTCCCCAGGCTGTAGTGCAGTGGTGCAATCACAGCTTACCACAGCCTTGACCTCCCCAAGCTCAGGTCATCCTCCAATCTCAGTTTTTGTATTATTATTTTTTTTTTTTAGTAGAGATGAGGTTTTTGCCATGTTTCCCAGACTGATCTTGAACTCCTGGGCTCAAGCGAATCACCTGCCTCAGCCTCCCAAAATGCTAGGATTACAGGTGTCAGCCACCATTCCTGCCCGAGTCTGACTTTTATCAGTGGTTGAGACATTAAAATGAATATTATTGGCACTGTGTATCAGCTTACAGAATAATACCTTTTCCTTTATACCTTCAGTTATTCACTGCCATTCAGAAGGTCTTTAGAAATTTGCAGTGAGTAGTCTTTCATTAAGTAGAGAATGGCCCTCTCAGGATTTTGTGTCTCTTTGTTCAGTTACTCAAGTGCTTAGATCAGTAAGTCGTTGTTAAGAGCAGTTTTCTCAATTAGAATTATAGCAAATTCTAAACTTTTTTTTTTTGTCAATTGAAGCTGTATTGTGGACTATCCATTATGTCTCTTAAGTTTGCAGAGGTTTGACATAATCAGGATGGCAGGTTTAAACACTAAAATCCATGGAGTTATTAAGAATACAGACAGGAATTCTGTTAGTTTCAGTAATCCTGTGAACTGATTGCCTATTTAGTTAACAATCTGGAAAAATTAAATACAAATAGATTTTAAATGAATGAATGCAAAAATTCTTCAAAGGGGCAGTAGGAGTATTAATAGCAATTTTTATTGCACATTGGAGCTTGAACTTTTGGTAAAACATGTGAAACTAAAGAAATATTTTACATTCAAATTCTTGCTTTATACACAAGAATTTTGTCTTAGGGTTGGATAATATAGAGATAAAAGATACATCCCCTGCCCTCAAGAAGCTCTTTGTTTAAATGGAAAAAAAATCATCATCCAAAAGTGCCATGCCAAATGCTGGGTTAGAAGCAAAGAGTCTTGGAAGCAGTAAATGTTGAAAGTGAGTTTTTGAGATGATCAGAGTTGATGTGGTCAGGCAGCGAAGGGGTGTTTCCAAGGGAAGCAGCAGCACGTGGGAAAGCACAGAAGTGTGAGATGGAAGCAGCTACATTTGATTTACTTTCTATGAGTGTAAGTCCATGGGATCTTATATAAAGTTTCCAGTTCAGCTGAGAAATAGGTAATTTTTTGAATTACATATTGTTTTTGTTTTATATTGTTTTACAGCATGGCCTCACACCACTTTTGCTTGGTGTACGTGGACAAAAACATCAAGTGGTGAAATTTTTAATCAAGAAAAAAGCTAATTTAAGTGCACGTGACAGATGTGGAAGGTATAGTTATTTCTTTTAATCTGTGTGTTGTTCGAGATTGATAGCAGTCACTCAAGTCATAAATAATAAATTAAGAAGATTAAATTATACTTATTGGGACATAGTGATCAGTGTCAACACAAATCAGTTAAGCAGAAAAACTATTATCTGGACTGGGCAACATGAAGAACAGTTTTAGTAGGATTCATCTTCTCTTATTGTATTGACTGATGTTATTTGTTGTATGATGTTTTTGGTTAGATGATATTATGTTAGCTAAAGGGATTTCATATTAATTTTATGAAATGTTAACTTTAACTTTTAGTTTACTTTATGACTCAGTATTGAACTTCTTAACCCTTTCTAGT